GTGAAAAAACATATATTTAATACTTGCGCCGGGTATTTAATGTTCGGCTCCGCCCGAACTTAGACTTCCTTACTTGTTTTAATCTATATTGGTTAAACTCGAAAAATCAAAATCATTGTAAATGGCGGTAGGATGTACGAATGACGATTACAACTTGTTGATTTTGGTGGTTAAAATTTAAAAAATAATGATAGCCCGGTCAAGATAGATATTCAAGGTTACTATGATTCGCATAAAGCTGCAAAACCATTTATTCAAGTTCAAAGGTCAAAAAAAAAATTTATTTTCTTGCATTTTTTTAGCAAAATCGTATGGTTTATCACAAAAAAAAGGCGAGACAAAAGTTTAGATGTTAATACATTTTTCTTCTTACGAATTACCATTTCTGAAATGTAGCTGCTGAAGCTGAACTGAAGCTGAACTGCTATTTAAGTAGGCAGGCCAGTATACATTGCTGAGGATGCTTCGATCGAACAGGAGTTATCGAGCGGAACAACGACGATGACTTCACATCGGGCCGCATCAGTTAAATTAAAAAGCAATAAATTACAATGCAAAGTATAAAAAGAAAATATTCATAGTAATTTAATTACAAATTTGTAAATTTATTCCTTTTTTCAAATCAAGGGGAGTACTTTCGCGACTAGTGCCCCTACTAAATTGTTATATTATTTATTAATTTTTACTGATTGGTATAATGTGGCAAGATTTTGATATTGCTTTTTGACATTCGTGCTGATAAATTATTCTTCCCTTTTTTCGGAGATCGTCGACACAATAATACGCGCTCGTGGTTAACGTAATTTTTAAAATTAAAATAAATTATTTTATAATATTGAATTTTGAATAAATAAGTATTTTAAGTAAAAGCCCTAACCGCTACATATGTACACATGATAACAAAATCTTTTCGAAATTTCTATGCTAGATATTATTATTCAAAGAAATGTTCTTGCATCATTTAGCAATTTTATTCTCTTTCAACAATTCATGTTAACATTTTTTTAATTTGGGCGGAATTTCACTATGAATATTTATAATTGCGAAATTCCTTTGAAATTGCAGCATATGAGTATAAACATAAATACATATTTGCAAAATTACTTGGTTTATAAGTTTGGAAATGTGTTTTGACGCACTGCAGTGTTTTGCTGCCTTTACATGAGAACACGAGCGATATTTGATTAGCGAAATATTTGCCAGCTGTCGGTGATTACTTATTGAAACGAAAAATAGTTTTATGTTGACATTTTGTCGAATTTCAATTAATTAATTCAATTATTAACTCTGATTACACAAAATCAACAACAACGACGCATTTGCCCGCAGCAGATAGTGGCGACAAAAATCCTCCTAGCTGTAAAAATACGTAACTGCATATAGGCAGAGTTGGGCGGCGTGTAATGTGACCATGTGGCCGATAGCATAAAAACAAATTTGGAAACTAGTTGCTCCGGTTTCAGTTGTACGTAAGCCGTGTTGTTAATATAAACGTTTTTTTATGCGCTTTGCTATGCGCTTACTGTGTACTCAAAATGGGTAGATAAACATATGTCTGTAGCAGTGTTGCCAGATTTAGGTTTTTCTAGAAATCTGTAAATTTCCAGAAAAACACTATGTTTTCGACCAAAAATCTGTAATCTTCAAAAACGAAGAGTTTTTAAAAGACTAAAGTTTTTTAATTTAATACACACAAAAATACACACATTTTGCTTTAATGAAATTCAGTTTCCGTACCTCATAAAGAAATGTTTAGTGCAATGCCACACGAAATATAAAAAAATCGGGACGATAATTTTTTCTTTGTAGTCGCACGATTGGTACAATACAGGGATTTTCTATTGAAAAATTTTAAAAAATTATTTTTCGTAATTGAGTTAAAAAAAATATTTGAGCACTCAAACGATTGGGATACGACTTGCACCAAATTTGGGGCAAATGACCAATCATGTGACATTGCTTTTAAAATGCTGAAATTTCTAATTTATTTCTTGGCCTCTAAACAAATTTTTTGTTTAAGTATACGCATATTAAGTTAGGTAACCAGTTTCCTAACTTAATCATTTCGAAATTAACACTCCATGTTAGCTAAATTAAACACTGCTTGTTTACTTTTACTTATCATGTGTGTGGCGTAGGACAAATTTAAAGTTTGTTTGTTAAATTTTAAATACTTATTGTTCACAATTTCACAGTTTATACATAAAATGTCTAAAATTTTCTCCAAAAAAGTTTTATTTAAATTTACAAAACCTATTAAAATTCTAAGTAAAAAAAAGATCCCTTCCTGACGATACAGAGTATATTAGAGAAAATATCGTCAAAATCCGTTCAGTAGTTTTCGAGATTACCGCGTACAAACAATCTCGACTTCCCTTTATACTATGTGTAGATTACAAAATAGCTGTGACAGATATTCTGAAAGCTGCCAGTTTTTGTAATTTAGCGTCACACTCTTAAAACTCCGGGGGTGATTGGCAACAAATTTAACCACCCTAATGTACATAAATAGATAGGTGCATATGTGCATTTACGGCACCTTAACTACTTACTATTAGAAATCCTTATGAAAATGAAAGTTGTCGCTTAAGCGGCGTGAGGATAGCAAACAAAACGACAAAACGACGAGGATAGCAACAAAAACGACCAAGACTTGCCCACTACTCAACAAGCAGTGCAGCGAATAAAATGACCAACAAAAAAATGACATCTCTTTTGAGCAGCCAACCAAGCGAACGGACCACTTGTCTTAAGTTGGCATGTCCGTTGCGGTCCCAAGTAACTGTTTATGTAGTACCGCGTTGCGTTGGGTCAATGCACGCCTAAGTGTTTGCTGTTTATGTGTGGATCTAGTTCGTCAATAATATCCAAGTTTTTTATGAAAAATGTATGACACACATAAAGAAAACACAGCCACTCGAATATGCGCGTAAATAAATAGCTGTGGACTTATGAAGTGGATGCACTGCAGCTATGTAAGAGGTACTGCAGTACATATATACTTATGTATGTAGAAGTCAGCAGCGAATGCAGTCAGTTTAATGTGGGCGGACAGTTGGAAGAGCATTACAGCAAGTGCGGCCGCCGCTGACGGCTCAATTATTATTTTGGCTTTTGTTATTTTTGGCCCTCTTTTCTTCCATTTACTTCATTTACTACTATTTTTGAGTTGATAGAAATATTTTCCGTGTTTGTGGTCATGGTTGGTGCATGCTTTGCCCCGGCAGTATGGATTTATTACTAAAATTAGCTACTTTCCGCAACCATTCGGCGGCTAATAAATAAATGTCGGAATGATACACATCGCTTATTAATATGATTTTCAGGTTAATGTTTAGGTGTTGTACAATATTTGGTTTACTTTGTCTGCTGTCAGTTTGCTTTCGTTTCTTAAATAAAACTTGTATTACCCGTAGCCGAATCCAGAAAAAAAATCCTATTAGTAATAACAGCTAATAATTCTTGAAAAGAAAAAAAACTGTGCTTACCTGGCGCCTCCTGAATGGTAGCATCCAGCTAAATATAAACCTTCAGCTATAGAATTCATTATACATGGACGTATTCCATATTATTTTATGTGTATTCAAATATCTGTACGACTACTCGATAGGCATCTCTGCCTATTGCTGTTCACATATTAAAATTTATTAATTTTAGATTTACTATAAGAGACATTCAAAGATAGAGTACTCACTAGGGTGATATAAAATGGGCAATTTTAATGCTCTCACTGCAAATGATTATTCGATACCGAAAATCATTAGTATTAATCATTTTTTAAATAAACAATTGGGTGTTATTGCTCGAAGCCTCCTAAAGGGAAACAGACTCATTCTATAGACAAAATATTGATTTTCAAGGAATATATACCATTTGTACGAAAATCGTTTTTTTTTTTCAATAACACCGATATAAGTCTAACAAGATAATACTCAGACGCTACTAAAAGGGAGGTGAGGCGTTCCCCTACTCGCTTTGTGCCCGTTTAAGTAAATTACCTTACCGTCATTTCGCATAATAGCAGCCAATCGACTGTTTAGATACTAGTATAGTGATCCAGAAGAGTAAAAGTTAAAGTTGGGGATGAGTTCACTGGAGAATACCACCATCGACCCTTCACTCCTTACGCCAAGCTTAGGCCCATCTGTGTTACTGGTCAGTGGTGCCTTCCTCCAATCACTGTTCCCCGTCCACTCATCCTTAAATGAGTTACTCGAAGAGAAAGAGCTATTTGGTGTCAGACTAGTGTCCAGAATTGACTTAAAATCATTGCAAAAATAGCAAATGAAAATTTCATACTTAACTGAATAATAAAAATTTCATTTTGCTCACCACACGTAAGGGGTGTTTATTACCAGCTGATCGGTCCGCAACTTTTGCCTGATAATTGATAAAAAAATAATTTTGGACGTTGATTTTTGTAAGATAAGGACGTTGCTACCCTGATCCAGATCTAAGTTTATGGATGACACCGCAACATAGCTACCCCAAAGCTCTGCCAAAAGTAGGGCCCTAACTAAATAATGACACTGGTTCTCCTACTATATGTTTAATTTTCAATTTATATAAGCTATCATCCAGTCATATACCCGTATGGCTAATACATAATATTCAATACACCTAGTAAGGGGATAATTAGGTAGACCTTCTTAAGCCTAGCCATTCCAAAAGGTCTTACTTAAGAAGAGTTGGGAAAGTGTTGCTCTGGCTGCCTTCTAGACCGGCTTTCCCTCTTTATAATTTACCCGAAAGTATACGTTTATATAATATAGGAAATATCTGTATGAACCTTAAATTAATTCCATAGAAAAGCACAATTTTTATGAAATAAAGAAGCAACTGTAATAGACTTCCTCCGAAGGCCTTCTCAAGTACGTCCTAAAAACGCCCTTCAATTTGGGCCACTCCATACAGAAAAGAAAGCAGAAAGGAATGCAGAGTGGCAGGCGTCTGGACTCTCAGTAAGGCCTTTTGGGAGAGCTTTTTTCTCCACTTTTGCATTAAGTTATCAAACATAAAATATACTCACTTTCTGTGTGCACAACTGGACCAGCAGTGTGTTTAGTTCCGCTGCTGCCGCCCGACGAAGCACCCGAGAATGAGCTGAATTTGGCGAAAGGATGCACAGCAACACCAGCACCATAGCCATGTGAATTAATTTGCGCCGAATTGATGATAGCTTTGCCAACATCGGTGACCTTATCACCCGAAGCGGCAACCAAATTGCCACTGGCGCTCAACGCATAACCGCTACCCTTTATGAGTTGACCCTTCAGTGCTGTCACACCGCCGGTGATTGCCTTAACCGCTTGGAAAATAGTATTGAGCACTGATTTCTTAAACGACCATGGATTGTATTCTACAGAATTGCCCTGAAAATTTTTGTTGCAGAAAAAAGAAAAGAAATGAGAAAATTGAACGTTGCGAAATTGTTGAACAGGTTATGGGCATATACATGAGCCGACTCGTATGATTTGTAGCTATCGCCACCACTGCTACTACTGCCGCCCGAACTGCCCGACGCTATGGAGGCTGAGGCCTGTCCGATGCTCGAGAGTAGACCAGATTTCAGATGCGCTACGTAATCAAAACTGCCAGAGCGTTTTTGTATTTGTGATTCGCCGTCTGTGGCGGCGTGATCGCTGTCGGGAAGCTCAACCTCCTCCAGTGAGAGGGATTTATCTTCACTCTGTGCGGGATAGCCGTGAGCCAGTAGAGGAAGCGTAAGCGCCAATATGTAGAACAGCTGCAAAGAAATATATCGATGACATGTACTTAAGTAATGGAAATATTTGTTATTAAAATGTGAGTATTATAGCATTTATGCACAGCAACAATATACATATGTATGTATGTATGGTATGTATGTAAAAATGGTTAATTATGATTAATATTTAATACGGCGTTGTGTTAATTACCGCGCACGCGCGCCATTTCTTTTAGCTTTACTCATGGCATATTTTGAGCGAGTACAACGCCAAAATGCACATTACATCACTCCTGAAAGCTTTGCGAGGGGACAGAACCACCACTTATTTTCAATGCGCAGACGTTTTGTGAATGGCATCGCCTTTCTTTGCCGCCTGCCTTCATAATAACCACAGTTGTGCGTGCTTCTGACTACATACACACACACTGCACCTCACTGCATTTCTAATGGGTTTTTTAAATAATAATAATCATAAAAGCTACATGCACTCAAAGAAAGTGAACGTTAATACTCATATCAATCGTACACATTTTCATTTCTTTATAAGTCTTAATTACTTTAGTAACTCTATAAAAAAAAATTTCGTAATACAAATCTGATATTTAAATTTGGAAATCACCGGCTACACACGAATACTTACTTAATCTTTTTTTGTAACTTATTGCTATTATATTTGCAACTTTATCGACATGGTCAATCGTTTGACATCAATTTAACGCTCGATTTAACACCGAAATTTTGTTACGTTAAATAATTTCATAATATTTTGTGTACAATAGAAATATTGTAATCTACAAGTTTAGGCTTCCTAGTGGCAAAATGTTTCCCTTACTTTTTAATTTACCCGCATTTTCATAAAGGGGCTTTTAAGGGCAGGATGTCTTAACTGACCCTTATCGGGCTAATTTTGAGATTATACACATAAATCGTTTATGATCTTAAACTCCACAACTTTTTGCGGTAATATTACATGAGTACAATTGCCAAAAATTGTTTCGTAAGACGGAAGCTGTAAGAGATTTTTTTTTAATCGTCTAAACAACGAAAATGAGCACAAGTATAGCCAATTTCCAGAATAAGTTGGGGTCACCGAAAATTTATCTATAGTAAAACACAAACATCTTTTTCCAATACCAACGTTTGCGCCGTTTTTTTATTTGTTGTCTATTCAACAGGCGATTTTTTAATATTGATTTTCGAATATCGAATAAACCGGATTTTTTTTTATTGAATAGATTTTGCCTTTTCATACAATTCTTGAACTCTTTTTGAAGTTTTCAAGGCTTCTACAAAACAGGTGCTATAAAAAAAAAGTCACGAAATACACCCGAAACAAAACCTAGTGTAGATTGTAGCTGTAGTTTTTTTTTTATTTTTGTTCGTAGGAGAGGGAAATGCTTTAAACACTGGCCAGGGGCGCTAGTCTCTATACCAGAGATGGGCGCAGGATAGCGGTATACTGATTTAAAATTTAAAATATAAATCTACTCCACCAATGGGTTCCGAGAGGAATACTTTCAGAGCTGCTGCGTCGGTGCCCATTCGAACGATATGGCCAAGCCAGCGGAGCCGATGTATTTTAATTTGCTGCACTACCATGTACATATATGTCGTTGTAAAGCTTATACAGCCCATCATTTCAACGTCTGAGGTACTTGCCGTAGCCAATGCGTAAATGCCCGTAAATCTTCCGCAAAATCTTTCTCTCAAACACTCCAAGAGCCGCCTCATTCGGAGATCACCACATCTCCTCATCAGACTTC